ATACACTAAATAATCAATGGTTGTTTATTTTTCTTATTTTTGTATATGTAATACTCTTTAATCTTACAAAGGAAATAATGATACCTGTAGGGTATCCAGTTGGAGTTCAGGTTCCGTGTTTCCCTAATGACATCAAGAACAAGAACCAGTCCTGAGGAACACACCTGTAATCCCAGAGGCTCAAGAGGCTGAGGCAGGAGGATCACGAGTTCAAAGCCAGCCTCAGCAATTTAGCAAGGCCCTAAGCAACTTGGTGAGACCCTGTCTCAAAATCAAAAATTAAAAGGATTGGAATTATGGCTCAGTGGTTAAGTCCCTCTGGGTTCATTCCCTGGTACAGGAGGAGGAGGAGGAGGAGGAGGAGGAGGAGGAAGAGGAGGAGGAGGAGGAGGAGGAGGATGGCTGAGCAAGATAAGCACAATTAAGTGACAGAGCATAGATTTATTGAAAGTAAAAAAGATAGCAACACTCTGTAAAGCAGATTGGGGAAGGGGGAAAAGGAGGGGCCCTCAAGGGCCCAAGTATATCTTTTATATGCTGAGCTGTGATTGAAGACCTAGCTGCATTTGTTCCCATTGGTTAATTTATTTTCACCTAACTAGAATATAGTTTCCATTGGTTACTTAATTTTCATCTGATTAGAATACAAAATTTATGGCACACTTGTCATGGTGTTAAGCCAAGCCCTTGTGTGTGTGGGACTCTCATGGTAATAGGACTTATCTTTTTTGTGTGGTGCTGGGGATTGAACCCAGGGCCGTGTTCATGGAAGGCAAACACTCTACCAACTGAGCTATATCCCCGGCCCATAGGGCTTATCTTAAACAGAAATATGAGGACTCATCTACATCTTGTACTCCAGCTGGCCTTATTCTTGGATCCTGCCTCCACCATCTTGCTATCCCTAAACTCCTACTTCAATAACAGTTTGAGGAATTAAATACAGTGGTCCCCGCTCCCTTATCTTGGGATCTATGGATTCAAACAAAACATGGATAGAAAATATATTTTTTAAATTTAATTTTGGGTCTGTGCTGCATATATACAGACTTATTTTTCTTATCATTGTTCCTTATACAGTACAGTATAAGAACTATTTGCATAGATTTATATTGCACTAGGTATTATAAGCAATCTAGAGATGATCTAAAGTATAAGGGAGGATATACATAGATTTTATACAAGTACTATGCTATTTTATGTAAGGGATTTGAGCACCTTCTATTTTGGTATGAGGGATGTCCTGGAACCAGTCTCCATGGATACAAAGAAACAACTATATTGACTCTGCTGATTTCCTCATTTGAACAACAGTTCAGAAATACTTATTTCCTGTTCTGATGGTCAACAGAGTACTTAGTGTTACAGAGCTTTTACACAATGAAAGAGATATCATGACCCCTGATAGTCAATGATTTTAGCTATTGAGAGGTCAGAAAATTTTGGCAGTGGAGTGATTTTGTAAAAAAAGCACAAAACTAGGTGTCAAATCTAGGTGACCTGGATTTTATGTCTTCTGAATTTTGACTTTTGGAGAGTAACTTAACCTATGGAAACATTTTTTTGGGGGGTAGGGGTACCAGGGATTGAACTCAGAGGCACTTGGCCACTGAACCACATCCCCAGCCCTATTTTGTATTTTATTTAGAGACAGGGTCTCACTGAGTTGTTAGTGCCTCGCGTTTGCTGAGGCTGACTTTGAACTTGCGATCCTCCTGCCTCAGCCTCCCTAGCCGCTGGGACTACAGGCATGCACCAGCACCCAGCTTTTTTTTTTTTTTTTGAATGATACTAAGGTCTTGTACTTGGTGGGCAAGTGATCTACCACTTAGCTATTTTGAAACTTGAGTTATGCCCATTTGTAAAAATGAAATAGTATCTACTTGGTTATATGAGGGGGATAATGGATAAAATAGTTTAGATGTCCTTGCTAGAGAAGCCATGGAAGGTACTTGTTTACCCCAGCCCTACCCTAACTGCATTTAATAATGTCTGACTAGGAAGTATCAGCACCAATCTGATCCATTCTTTGTAAGCAGATAGAAATCTGAAAATGGCCTAGTGTGTGCTCTGCCTTTGGATTTGATTTAAGCCCATGGGAACCTTCATGAGCATCATGCTTTAACTCTGATCCATTGACCCACCATTTTTTTAATTGACTCTGATATGAAATTGGGGCTTAGGTCTAAATCTTTTTGCCTAGTTTCTGCTGGCCCCTTTCCAGGAATTGCTGACTACTTTCAGAACAATTTGTATCATCTTGCCCAGTTTTCCCAAAAGAATGACTTGGCCCTAATTGTCCTGGAGAATTTCCCTCCCCTGAGGCTTTTATATATCTCTTCATTGTGTCCCTTGGGTGACTCTGACCCTGTTGTGCATCAAATTTAGGTTTATACTCTCTCCCAATTTTGCAGTAGACCAGCCTCCAGCTAAGGAGGGGCTTTCCCAGCTAGTCTTGCCCAGCCTCTTTTCTCTGCCTCATTCATGTTTACTCATAGAGCTTTTTCTTAGGAGTTACAACATGCCCATTGTCTCCAGCAGAGATTAAAGAATGACAAGGACCAAGTATAGAAGGATCATTGGCAATTCCAAAGCTAAGAGTATATTTTGTTGATTCCACTAGAAAGCATTCAAATAGGACTTTTAGTAAATCAAAATGAATTGTCTTTTTAGTGTATTTCTCTCACCAAGGAACAAAGTTTAGCTTATACTTTCTCTGAGTTAACAAATCAAGAAGAGACTATCTAGGGCTGGGACTTGGGTTTGATCCTCAAGCACCACATAAAAAGAGAAAATAAAGGCATTGTGTTGTGTCCATCTACACCTAAAAAATAAATATTAAAAAAAAGAAGAGACTATCTAATGAACTTTAACAACTGAGACATGGTACATAATTAAATTGTATTTTATTAACTAAATTGAAGTTACGGCTTTCATATCTACAAACAAAGGCACTGTATCTTTCTAAGATATTATGCTTGTATTATTTTGAATGGTATCTCTCTAATATTATGGATATAATAAGAATACCTTGAAACTGGATCCATAGCATTGAAAGTTAAGTTTAGTATGGTAAAATATTTGCAAGTAATAGAAGATTCAGGGAAAACAAGAAGCTTGAAAAAAATTTCCTGGAGTTTTTCTTGTTTGTTTTTAATAAAAAAGACAAATGAGTTCATTGGAATTGCAATTTCAGGAAAAGGAAAAAACATTTTGAATCTAGATCTCCTTTTTCTTACTATGGTGTCAGCAAATTCTGATAATAAAATCCTCTATGTAGGGTCTGATAAATACTTTCTGACAAAAATGATTACAAAAGAGCCAAAGTAGCTGATATCTGAAAAGCAAATGCTAAATTCCCTAAACAATTAGTTTCTTCCTGTCTTTCCAAGTTCAATTCAGGGAGAAGCATTAACTATAGAAATGAATACAAATGAAAAGACAAATATCTTGGGGGTAAAACATAAAGTTCACAATGGAGAAAAGAATGTATGCATTCCCCTTCTTCATTCAGACTTCTTGCTTTTTACTTGTTTATGTATTTAATGTAAAATATATCTTTAGAATCTGAAAGACTCTGTTAGGTCTGAACCTGTGTTCTGAAGCAAAGGAGATGATTTTTATCCTTTGGAATATTAGGTGGTATAGAAACTGGATCTAATCTTGTCATTCTTATTTTGGAATGAATAACTGACATTTCATCTATTCTAGAAAAGCATCCAAAAGTACTCTGAGAGCTGGGCACAGTGGCGCATGCCTGTATTCCCAGCAGCTCGAGAGGTTGAGACAGGAGGATAAAAGCCAGCCTCAGCAAAATCGAGGCGCTAAGCAACTCAGTGGGACCCTGTCTCTAAATAAAATACAAAATAGGGTTGCGGATGTAGTTCAGTGGTTGAGTGCCCTGGAGATCAATTCCTTGTACCCCACCCCCAAAGTACTCTGAGTTCTTATGGGTCTGCATGGTTATTGGGCTTGGAGATTAAATCGGGGCAGGAAAAAAAAATTTATGGAGACTTGAAGGATGAAGGACAATTTGGTGTTGGCCTGAGTCTCTTCATTTTATCAGGGCTGAAATAAAATCTTGTCAGGTTATGTAAAGAAAGATTTGATAAACTTTCAATGGAAAAAGAAATGTATATGTGACACTGAATTTTAACATCAAGGATTTGGGAAAATCAGAAGAAATTTAGACATTATCTAGTTCTTCTGGCTCATTTTACATATGAGAAAACTGACCATTTCTTTTTTTGGTACCGGGAATTTATTTTATTTAGAGACAGGTTCTCACTGTGTTGCTTAGAACCTCACCATTGCTGAGGCTGGCTTTGAACTCATGATCCTCCTGTCTCAGCTTCCCAAGCCACTGGGATTACAGGCATGTGCCACCGTGCCCAGCAAAACTGACCATTTCTTAGGGAAAGTACAGAGTCAACTTTTGTTTGGGAACAGAAGGTTAGAATGGATGACTTCTGAGATTTCATTCAAAATTTTTTACGATTATAATTATTTTATGTGATGGTGTTAGAGATTAGAACCCAGGTCCTTGAGCATGCTAAGTGCCCACTCTACCACTGAGCTACATCGCCCATCCCTACAATATAAATAAATATTTTTTCAAACAGAGTCCGTGGGAGCCAGAGCCTAGAGGAGAATTTAGGTTTGGGGACTTGTCTATTTATGACTCTTTTCGTACTTAAAGATATTTGAAACTTAAAATAATGATGCCTTTGGGTAGTATATTCTGAAGAAAACATAAATCTGCCATTCATATACTTACCTTTGGATTATCTTTTAGTTCCCAGTGTGGTGAGTCATATAGTAAAATAACATTGGCATACTAAGAGGCCATATCAGGAACTAATTAAAAGAGAAAGAAAGTCAGTCAGATGAACTTTATATTTTCCTGTGAATTTTTTGCAAATATAACCTTGAATGCTGATCTTCTTTAAATGCAAATTTTTTCATGACAGTTGCTACTTTTCCTGGATAAAGCAGAGCTCCTCCTACATAAAATCAAAGCTTAAGTTCTAGGGTCATTTAAAACCCATTCAGCAAAGAAGCTGTTTGTTGAGTTAGACTTTAGTGCTATTGCAGATGAATTTGATTACAACTGGACACATTATTCACATAGAGTAAGTCTGAAACTTTAAATTGGGGGAGGAATTTTGGGGTGAGAGGTAATTTGTTTTGAATAATTATTTTGTTTTCTTTATCTTTGCTTTATAGGTTCATGAATCTTTTTGTGGCAAAAATTCTTTGATTTGATATAGAAATATTTTGGGGAAATATTGCCCTTTTGCATTAAGCTATTTTAATGGTTGCTAGATCATCATGTATAGACAGCAGTATTGCTTTAATTTTTATTTTCTGATTAGTCTTTCTTTACCATGAAAAGTATACTTTTTGTATGCAAGTCTGGTCCATTTTAGATGGTAAGGTTAGTTGTATTTTACAGTTCTCTGAGATTATTTTCTGTGTGATTTTTTTCCCCCTATAAATGGGAATGTTCCACTTTGTAATAACTTTTCTCTCTTAAGCCTAGAGATAACCACAGAGCTCTTCTAAAATAAATGATTTCATCTATCTTTGCATGATGTTTTGATTTAACTTACAGAACATACATGTCCTCTATATGCATGATTTCATTTGTTTATATATTATGATTATGTATATAGTAGGGTTATTAAAGTAAGAGTTCCAATTTTCACTGCTTTTACTCTGAAATGTTCTAGCGCCTTATACCTTTGATAATTGTTTCCCTCTGAAAGAACACATAGTTAACACTTGAATATGAACGTCACTTTTACACACCACACTCACTTTGGATGCTTCCAGATTAGTTTTCTTCTATTAATATGTAAGAAGGTACATGAAACAAAGACATCATCACCAAGGACTTACTGCCTATTTTTGATTGAAATATTATTTAACTATAGAATGTTATAAAGAGTTCCAGACAAGTAAGTAACATGGATGATTTATTATTATTATTTTTATTTTAAGTGGGAAAAGTACTAAACTCAGGACCAAGAGATCTGTTTGCCAGGTCTCCTCCATATAGCTCTGCTAGCTTGGAACAGACACCCCACTCTTCCCTATTTTACTTTCTTCAGCTGTAAAAGAAGCCTGAGTCCTGACTGTGCCTAATGTTATGAAAGACAATAAAACTGTTAGAAATGACTAAATAGTGGGAACAAACAAAGGAGAGGCAAAACACATACAGGATTGATTTATTTCTTTTTGATGCTAAAATCTTACCTTTTGACCAAAAGATGATTTGGGGGTTAGTTTTTGAAAATCAGAGGAATATATCACCTGTTGTAACTTGGAGGAGCTGAGCGGGGATGGGTAGCTTGTTCCTCCTGATGTGTTTTTCAGGGTCTTCAAGGAATTCATTAGGAGGTGGCTCCTGGCTATGGAAGCAGAAGGCACCTACCAAAGACATTCTATGTGCTTCCTTAGCTGTATGATGGCAAGTGTTACTGCTTTCATTTTATTGATAAGAAAATTGAGAGTTAGAAAGCCGAAGTGTCTTGCCCAGATCTATGTGGCTCTTTCCATCATTCCATGCAGCTTCTACAGTCACTCTGAGGTAATCATGAGAAGATAAGCTCTGTGGAATTATGTTTCAAATCTGTGTGTGGGTTCAAGATTTATGCTGGAGAGAAGGCTTGGTCCTTGACCCCATGCCAATCCACAGTTTTGAGAAAAAGGAAAAAGAAGTTTTATTGCTTTGCTAGCAAAGGAGAAACAAGTTTTATTGCTTTGCTAGCAAAGAAGAAACAACAGGGGACTCCTGTTTCAGAGGCTGGGATTCAGCCCATCCTGGAAAACAGAGGGCTTTTTAAAAAGCTATTCAAGGGCTACATTCCAGGTGTGCCTGGCAGGGGGTCCCAGGTGGGCCCCCGGATGGTGTGTTAGGATTCACTTGTTGTGGAGGACAGATAAGGTAATCTTGTTCCCCGCCCCCAGATTAGGGAGGAGGAAAGGGAGGAGAGAAAAAGAAAAACAGGTCCCTTTTAAAATAAGCAGCAAGGGCTGTATTCAAAAGTGGACCTCTGTTAAAAAATTAAGAGTTGAATGGTACATAGTGAGCAAAATATATGATCCCTGAACTCATGGAGTATTGTCTATTGGAGCAGAACTTAATCAGATAATCTCATGGTAAGTCTCTAAAGGGAAGGTAGTCAGTGCTTTGAAAGCATGTGACAAGGCCTCACTACACAGGTGGCAGCTCATCTGAGGTCTGAAGAATGAGTCACTGTTAACCAAGTCATCCTTCTACATGTTCCTACTCAGATTCTTCTTCTTCTTCTTCTTCTTCTTCTTCTTCTTCTTCTTCTTCTTCTTTTGTGCTGGTGGTGGGGTGTCTTTTGGCGGTGCTGGGGAATTGAACCTAGGGCCTTGTTAGGCTAGCATACTGGCACTTAGCCACATGCCCAGCCCCCTCTGTTTTCTTTTTAAGCCTCCTACTTACTCCTCCCATTTATTCTCAGGAAGTGAGCTCATCTCCTATTTTGCATAGAAAATAAAAGCCACCAGGTGTGCCTGGACCTTTTATTCTTCTACCTTGTATTTTACAAATACCTCAATTTGCACCTTCACCCATGCTTTTGTCCTATCTCTGAGGAAAACTATCCCTCCACCAGTCCAAGTTTAATCTCTGTTTCCAAACCCATGCCCTCTTCTGGTTTTCTCAAGTATCTTTTTCATAATTACTCCCTTACTCTTCAAAATATTGTACCTCTTCCTCTGAGTTCTTTTCTCAGCAAAGGAAGAGGGGAGAGAGAGAGAGACATCTTTTCTTGACCTTGACTGTACAACAAACTCCTTTACAACCCATATAACCAAGGTTCTATAGAAAAAGAGTCCAAGGCACCTCACAGAAGAAATACGAATGGTCAACAAATATATGAAAAAATGCTCAACATCACTAGCAACTAGAGCAATGCAAATTTAAACTACACTGAGATTTCATCTCCCTCCAGTCAGAACGGCATTTATTAAGAATACAAGTAGCAATAAATGTTGGTGAGGATGTGGGGGGGAAAGTACAATCATATATTGCTGGTGGGACTGCAAATTGGTGCAACCACTCCTTAGAAAACTTGTAATGGAACCATCATTTGACCCAGTTATTCCACTCTTCAGCATAAACTTAAAGGACTTAAAATCAGCACACTATAGAGACACAGCCAATCAATGTTCAGAGCAGCTCAATTCACCGTAGTTAAGCTATGGAAGCAATGGAGGTGCTCTTCAATAGATGAACGGATAAAGAAAATGTGGTACCTATACACATGGAATTTTACTCAGCCATAAAGAAGAATGAAAATATGGCATTTGCCCGTAAATAGATGGAACTGGAGATTATCATGCTATGTGTGAAATAAGTCAATCCCAAAAGAAACCAAAGGTCAAATGTTCTCTCTGATATGTGGATGATAACATACAATAGATGTGTTGCGGGGTGAGAAGTGAAGATTCACTGCATTGAATAGGGGGAATGGAAATAGGAAAGACAGTAGAATGAATCAGACATAACTTTCCTATGTTCATATATGAATACACGACCAGTGAAACTCCACATCAGGCACAACCACAAGAATGGGAAGTTAGACTCTATATGAATGATGTGTCAAAATAGATTCTACTGTCATGTATAACTAAAAAGAACAAATAAAAAAAGGGGTCCATGGGGCTGGGGATGTGGTTCAGTGGTAGAGCACTTGCCTGGCATGCATGAGACCCTGGGTTTGATGCCCAGTGCTGCCAAAGGAACAGAAAACTGGTCTATAATACAACCAACCGCCTTTACTGAGGCCACCAATTACTTCTTATTTTCAAAGGCAACAGATACATTTCAATTTTTGTCTTACTTTCCCCCATGCACTCTCCCCACTGTTTCACATTGCCAAGTACTCAGCTTTTTTTAAAATTGTCTAAACATTTTTTCGTAGTTGTAGATGGACAGAATGGCTTTATTTTATTTATTTATTTATTTATATGTGGCGCTGAGGATCAAACCCAGGGCCTCATGCATGCTAGGCAAGCACTCTACCACTGAGCCACAACCCCAGTCCAGTATTCAGCTTTTTAATATTCTCTCCTTGAAATGTTTTGCTGTATTAGTTTTCATGATACCAGCCTGTCCTGCCTTTCTGCTTTTCTGGTCACTAGTCTCATTCCTGAGTAAATTCAACTGCCCAAACATCTCTGCAGCTCTCCAGTTGTCTTCTCCATTTTCAATCGATCACTAAGGCCTGTTTTACCTTCTTACAATGTATATGTTCTTTTTGTTTATTCATTTTTGGAGGTACAGAAGACTGAGTCTAGGGGAGCTCTACCACTGGGCTACATCTCCAACCATTTTTATTTTTTATTTTGAGAGAAGGCCTTGCCAAATTGTTGAGGCTAGCCTCAAACTTGCAATCCTCCTGGCTCAGAACTTGCTATCCTCTGCCTCAACCTCCTGAGTTGCTGGGATTATGGGTGTGGTCCACTGCTCCCCACTGTGTTCCATCTTTTTAAAAAAGCAATATTGTTATCATAGTATGGGCCTTCATCTTCTCTATCCTGAACTGTTGAAAAAGCCTCCTAAGTTGTTTCTCTCTTTTTGCCCCTCTCAGATCTGTTCTCCTAAGGGTGGCAAAAGCCATATTCCTAAATTTTGCATGTTTTAAACTGAGCTATTAGACATAACCCTCAGGTTTAAAACACCTTCAGTATCTATTTTGTATTTTCTTTTATACATTTTTTTTTGGTTGTCGATTGACCTTTGTTTTATTTGTTTGTTTGTTTGTTTATTTCTGTGTGGTGCTGAGAATTGAACCCAGTGCCTCACACATGCTAGGCAAGCACTTTACCACTGAGCCACAACCCCAGCCCTTCAGTACCTTTTTATAACCCTCATGATAAAGTCCAAAATCTTTTAACATGGCTCAAAAAGCATTCCTTCCTATGTACATCTCATATTGTGGCCAAGACAAATGACTTGTAGCTCCCTGAATGAGTTAAGCTTTATCAATTCTCTGTATTTGCTCAATTAATTCTCACTGAGGAAAAAGCCTTCCCTCATCACCTTCTTTGACAAATAAATACCACGTCCTCATCTTTGAGATAGCATAGGTCC